TTTCAACAACTTTTTAATCCTGTATGTTAGAAACGTATTTTTGACACAAACATCCAACCTACTCAGTTTGGCTGATAAAACTACTCCAGATCATGATCACTGATATGAATAAGCGAGTAAATCAATGTTTTAATCAGCACTAAGTAGAATATCAGGTTATTTGTATAGTATAGATGCAGTTTGCAAATATATCTGATGATGGTGATCAAACATGGCACGAAATCAGCAAGTTCAAGTTGAGGTTGTTGTTTGTTTTTTTTTTTTAATGGTGCGAATTGCGAAATATTAACTCCACTTTTTGAAGCTGTGATGTATCCAGACACTTTGATGCTTCTAGTGGTGTTTTTTAAATGAATATAAAGTCCTAGTTGTCTTGTATTTGAACAATTGATACAAGATGACCAGTTGCCACCTTTTCAAGAAACAAATTAAACTGGATCAACAGAAAACAAAGGGGCATAATGGGGACTATCTTTTTTTAAATTATATTTTAAAAATGTTAAGTGTTGCTTTTGCCAAATATATTTTTATTATTACCATGGAGGAGGGGAGGGGACACTAGGGACCATAAAAGCATTGTTTCAAAATGTACATGGTTAACAATTTAATGTATTTTAGATATTTTTTAAATTATAAGAAATATAGGATCAATACTGAAAATCATACTGCATGTTAGTCTTTTCAAGTCTATTTGATATAAAGAAATTCTCAAATTATAACAGTATTAAAGACATGCCCTAATGCTATAAAGGGACTTTTTAAAATATCATGGACACCTGAGAACAAAGTTTTAGATCTGAATCCTACAGTTTCAATGCCAAAAATATGAAGTGCTATATTGGCTTGAGTATTGAATGCTCTTTCCCTCTCCTTTTTAGCAAAAATACATACATATATATAATGTTGTTAAAACTGTGGGTGAAGGGTACTGCATATACATTTGTTCATAGCTACCATTTGGCTTTCACTGGGTGAACCTGGGAACCAATGTTTCTATAACCTAGTACATAATTTCCCTTTTGGTGGAGCCTCTAGGGTAAGAGTAGATCAGAGCACTTGACCTCTTAACATCCCCTTCGGTATTTTTCTTTTTTGCTTTCACTAAACAGGGTCTGTAACATCTGTTGCTTTGACCAAACTTTCAGAGTAACTACTACCAACAACTAAAACAGGTGTAAGGGGACAAGTAAAGGAGAAAAACATTTCATTCTTTCCTGTCTCCTTCAAAATGGTGGGTAAAAAGAATGTTGGGGGTGGGGAGAAGAATCACAGTCAGTATGATAAACTGTGACCCATATAGCTGTATTACTAGCTATACATTCCTTGTATAACAAACCAGCATCTCTGAACAATGATGTTTGGGGCAATATAGAAGCACCTGATACCCAAGTGATCTTGGTTATGTCCAAGAGACACTGTCCATTGTACTTCCTATGTGCCTGTCAGTTATAAATGCATTGGGAAGATATATATACATATATATCCCCTTGAAATAAATTTCTGCCAGCAAACTTTTGGATCTAGATTTTAACTGTTTCAGTAAAGGGATGAAAATTTTATTTAGGTTGTATCAACTGACCAGCTGTCTAGACTATGTACTGTATTGCTTATTTCTGACTTTTAGGGGGGAACATGTTTTTAAAACCCACTCAGATCAAAAGAGTAGGGAATTTCCTCACTAAAAAGTTGTGGGGTTTTTGTTTGTTTTCCTCTCTACCCCTGCTACCAATAAACCAAAACAAAATCTGTGAAAACTTATGAGCTTGGGAGAGCATGTGTATAGATTAGCTGTGAGCATGATTCAAACAGTGGAGGGGTTTGTTTCCTGTAGATAGCACACTTTAAACAGGTGCCTCCCCCTTTTTTCTTTGTTATCAACACCATGGGTGTAAAGTTGTTTTGTTTACTTTCCAATGCTGGCACAAATGTGTTGGTTCACCTTTTTTCATGTATCTGTGTATAGACCTATTCTGTTTATTGTTTACTGTGGGAATAGTATTATACTATGAGGTAAACAAAAATAATTTGTATTGCCTGATGAACTATTAGCTTGTAAATTTTTTTTAAGTTTCTTTACCTCAATTAATTTAAAGGTATGGACAAATAAACATATAAGAGATGCTCTTGTTAGCTTGAACATTTTGTTTTGCCTTGTGCTCTCTTTATAGAACTGAAAGATGGATAGTTTCTTTTAGTTTCTTCCTTTAAAAAGAAATCAGCGAGCCACGTGTTCTTCCCTTTCACCTCCCTTCCCTTTGCCTCTCCACACTCCCTCAAAGAAAAAGCTGTGGTTCTTTTAATCCCTTCCATTACCTTCCTCCCCAGCTTCACCTTCCCTTCAGTTATTTTGCTAGCGTGATTCCTCTGCTGGATGAGAATAATGTAAGCTATTTTACAGAACTAACACTAGTTAGTTTTGCCTACCTGTAACAAACTATATGACATATGGCAACAACACTGAATTTAGTCTAAAGACCTGGACTCTAGTCCCAGCTCTGCCTCTTTCCAGCTATGTGACCTTGGAGAAGTCACAATGGACCAATTTTCTCACATGTAAAATGAGGCATTTAACAAACTTCCTCACTGAGTTGTTATGAGGATCAAATGAGAATGTATGTGAAAATGATTTGTTATTATACAGTGTTGCATACATATGAACATGTAATCCTCAAACTTTGATAATTTGATATGTCAACATCTAGGCCCCAAATATTTTAAAAATATATAGTGATGATTATAGTAAGCATTTCTATGGTATTTTAAAGTTTGCTGAGCACTTGAAAGATATCTCATTTTATCGTCAAAACACTTCTGAGAAGCATGTTCGTTTCTTATCCCAATTTTTCAGATGAGGAAACTGAGACAGGTTAAGTGATTGGCCTGGGACTAGGGTCTCAGAGCTAGAAAGTGTCTGAGGTCAGATCTAAGCATAGGTCATCCTGACTACAGGCCCAGTGCTCTATTCACTGTGCCATCTAGCTGCCTGTGTTTTCCTACCTTTAAATAATAATACACAACATTGTAGTCTACTGAGAATGTTATCTTTAATTTTAATAACTGACTACAATTGAATTTAGTTCATTAATGGTGCCAGTTTAAATTATGATTCCTTAGTCTATTTATATAATAGTGAAATTTCAGTTTAATATGCAATTATATATACACATACATATTTTTTCCTCTTTTGAATACTCTTCTTCCTTGGAAATGCCATCGTACTCATGATAGCAGAATCTAGATTCAAACCAAGATCCTCTGACTCCATATCCAGAGAGGAATGGTCAAGAATATATGTATGAACAGAGATAGAAGACAAGTAAAAGGGATAGTGTGAAGGTGGAATTTACAATATTTGACAACTGATTGGGTTTGGGAAGGTGAAGAAAAGGGCAGAATTGATGATAATTTTGAGGTGGTTAACATTGGTGTCTGGAAATATGGCTGGACCTTCAACAGACATAGGCAACTATGGAGAAAGGGTAGATGAAGGGAACAAAACATGAGTTCTATTTTTGATACGTTGAGTGGAACATCTAACTAGAGGTGATCAATAGACAATGTTAATGTGGGTGGGATTGGAGCCCAAAAGAAAAAGTAGTGCTTGATAAATAAATTTTGAAGCCATCTCCATAGAGGTGTTCTGAGTACAAGGGAGTGATGAAATCTCCAATATTATGTGTTGGGAGAAAAGAGAAGAGGGTCCAGAACAGAGCCTTGGGGTGAATTACGGTGTTATTTTAAATGTAATTTCTTTTTCTTCCTCTTCCTTTGGGATTTTGTCTTTTTTTTTTTTGAAGTGGAGAGAGATGAGGGTGAAAAAAGAAAATGAAGAATAGAAGAAATATTCTATGCCAGTTATGTTCCACCATAGCAACAGAGAGATCATGGGAGAAGTACTAGAGCTGGATTCATAAAATTGTAACATTAAAGCTGACAGAGACCTTAGCCATTTAGTCCAAATCCCTCATTTTGCAGATGATGGATGTGAGGCCTTCACAGGAGAAAGGTCTTGCCCAAGGTCACAGAGGTCACAAGTAACTGCTATAATTCAAACCAGGTCTTCTGACTCCAAATCTATGACTCTGGTTCGTGTCCTGGCTCTGACAATTACTGACCATGTGACCCTGGGCAAGTCACATAATCTCAAGGAGGTTAGGATCAACTGTGATAATAATCTTTGCACAATCTACCCCATAGGGTGGTTGTGAGGAAAATGACTTTTTAAAAGTCTTGTGCTGTATAAATAGGTGACAATGTGAACATCCCACAGGGCTGGATTTAGTTCAAGCTGTGGTATATTTCTTGAAACATTTCTATTGGTGTGGTCTTGTATCTCCATAACAACAGAATGAAGACTCCAGGCTCTTATATGTGATTTTCATCTGTGTAGGGAACTCTCCAACAAATTCACACAGGTGTTTCAACTTATGGTCTTAGAAAGTTGCTTAGGATACAGAAGTTGAGTGACTTACCCACAGTTAATATATGTGAGAGGTGAGACTTGAAGGTGGGTCTTCCTGACTTCAAGACTGCTATGCTATACTCCTCTTTATGCATTTATTTTTATTGTTCAGTCGCATTTCAGTCATGTCTGACTCTTTGTGACCCCATTTGAAGTTTTCTTGGCAAAGACACTGGAGTATTTTGCCACTTCCTTCTTCAGCCCATTTTATAGATAAGGAAACTGAGGCAAACAGGGTTAAGTGGTTTGCCCAGGGTCACACAGCTGGTAAGTAAGACTAGATTTGAACTCAGATTTTCCTGACTCCAGGCCCATCCTATCTGGGCCTGTACCACCTAGCTGCCTGTAAGCATTTATATTTCCTTTTAAAAAAATGAACCCCAGCTACTTCAGAGTTTGTGAAAAATGAACCTATCAGAAAAGTAGTCATTCTACCTCTCCCTAATATTCTTTCTTCTCCTCCTCCCCAAAACCAAATTAGAAAGCATTTTCTCTCTTTCCAGATTCTCTGTAAAACCTTGAATTTCTTCTTTGCCTCCATTATTTTCTACCTAGAGTAATACTTACTCTACACTCCCCTGCTCCCTATACCACCATGTAAGTTCCTTGAGCATAGAGACTGTTTCTTAGCACCAACCTTGCACATAGCATAGACATTTGAAAGTCATTTGTTGAATCAAATGGAATTCATTCACATTTATTTATATGCTCAAACACGGCTCTTTAGGCAAATTACCATTTAGGAAAAATAGTCTCAGCAGATTAAACAAACAAACAAGCTATTTAAGCAAATGCCTCAAAATACAGGACATTTTTATGTCTCTGACACTCTCCCTTATGCCCCTCCTTCTAGAAACTATTTTTGACAGTCTAAAATGTCTCTTGGGACCTATTGGCATGATTGGCAGACTGCAATCCCCATTTTATTTTGTTCATTTAATTTAAAAAGGCCCTTTATGATGCAATCATGAATTAGAAAAGGTGACCCAAAGAGCCTTTCATGGAAATTTGGTTTTTTACAAAGAAATTAACACCCCCAAAGGCTAAGCAATAGCTACCTGAAGTGTTGTAGCTGATGCGACCATTGGGAAGATGACAACTAGCTTGTTCCTAAGGTTTTGTCTACCTTTTTTTTTTTCCTCAAATGTTGCTTCTGTCTATGACAACAACTTTGGAAAAGAAAAAAAAAAAGAAAATTTCCATGGCAACCAATCCTGGATCTAAAAGGACTGGGAAACTATATCTTTGGTTTATTTCTAGCATATGGGCCTGAAGCAGGGATAGCCAAGAAGGCTATTTCTGAATAACCATCTACAGCATGGTGGAGGGATCTGAGCACCAATCTATGACCTAAGTCCTCATAGGAGAATTTAGAAATACCCGAACGTTTTGATATTTCAAATGCCTTTCTTGGGGAAGTTCTCTGTGTTACCAACAATATCTGGCAACTTTCTTGTGAAATTAATTTTCAGAATAGAAGTTTCCTCCACCAGTATAGGGTTTCTCCCCACCCAATATGGAACCCTTTGAAGTAGCTGGTTCATGAGGGTGAACCCAGATGGAACTCTAGTTTTTATTGTCAATTTCCCTGATCCAGCTGCTTCTTTTCATGCAGGATCCACACCACAGGTGATTCTGTTTATGGGTTTTAGGGACATCAACTCAGTCATTTCTCAGTGATCTCTCCTTGCTTGCAGGCCACAACCCTGTTGAGTTTGGGGGGGGGGAGATGAAGAGATAGGAGGAGAGAGGGAGAGGGAATTGACAGAAATGTTAATAGCAGCAAGGGTAACCCACCAAAACAAGCCATTCTCAAAATACTGCTTTCCATCAAACCAGAGTTCATGGTGCTGGGGTGGCGTGTGAATGGGAAACTGACCACATATTCACTAAAGATGTGACAAGGATTTAAAAAGAAAAACAATAACAGGCTGAGGAGGAGGGAAGTCACCTTGGAGGGAGGCAATAGCAGAGGTTTAGGAGCAGACAATTAATTGATCATTGCTGAGATGTACATGTCATAAAATGAAATTAATGACCACTAGAGGACGACTTTCAAGTGCTTAAGTAAGTCTGCCAAAAACTCGATCCAACCCCTTCTTCCCTCTACGACAAGTTTGAACATCTTCACCCTGATCAAGCAGCCTTCTGGTCCCTTCCCTCAGCCCCTTTAACCATGTCTTTATTACTTCACTACATAGCTCCCAACAGGGAAGCTCAAGTTCTTCCAGGTACTTCTAGTTAGGAAACTACAATCTGGGCCACCCAGCCAGAGTTCCTTCTTAAGGAAAGGAAGCATGATAAAGAATGTAAAGAGGTCTTTTGCCAGCACTGAAATGTCGAGTTTGGGACCAGGCTGAAGACAGAAATGATAATAGATTTAGATCAGGAAGTGGCATTAAGTAAGTCCCATCCCCTCACTTTACAGATAAGGAAACAGAAACCAAGAAAGATGAAATAATTTATCCAACGTCACACAAATTGTAGCAAAGTTTTGAGCTGTCTTCAAATCCAGATTCTTTCCACTCTACCATGACCTCTTTAGGCCTTGCTCAGTTTCCTCAAAAAGGACAGCTTTACTGGATCGCACTCTTCTGTCTCAGCAAAAATATACCATGTATGGAGCTGAATAGCAGGACCTTTGTGGCTGGGGTCAGAATAGATACCCCCATTGGGTTCTGATGAAGTAGTTCTGGGGGATTTTTTTTGACTCTACATAGTCTACATCACAGTGGCTTCAACAATGGCCATCCAAAAATGGTTGGTATCTCTGTAACAATGAATTAAATATATATGTGCACTTTTGTTGCAAAGAGATCTAGATCCATAGAAAAGTGTGTCAACTTCCTTTCTGCAAAGAGCTCTATCTGGGTTGGTCAGTTTTAGATAAATCCTACTGAGCCAAATACTTTGTGACCTGTCATCATCTCTACAGATAGATGTGGGTATGTACATATATATGTATGTATAGATAGACATCTATATCAAGTAAGGTAATAACTGTGAAATATATAAAAATATATAAAATATGTAATATACTATAAAATATATAAAAATCTCCCAGTTATTCTGTCAGCATTGTTGACGTAGAGAGAATGCTGAATTTGGAGGGGCAGAAGCATGGGCAAAAATCCTAGCTAGGCTACTTAATGCATGACCTTGAGAAATCACTTCAGCTTCCTGGTCCTCAGTTTTCTCATCTGTAAAATGCAGGGGCAGATTATTGAGCTCAGAAGGCCCTTTGAGCTTTGAGTCTGTGTTCCAATTTCAGTTTATGCCTCATGTCAGCCTAGTGCCATGGGCTGCAATTGTATGTATTCACTCAGCTCTTTTTGCCTTTTGCCAGACAGTGGGTGAACCTTGTAAACGAAATTGCTTAAGCATCCCTGGAGTGCCTACCTGACCACACAGCAGGTGGTTGTGTTGTGCTGAGTTTGAATGTCTCATTTATTTTGGTGGAGGGCTGGGAGGGCTATAATGACTACTGGGAAAAGAAAGAACTTTAACATACCAGAAATAATAATAGTAAATGTTAATCAAAGTGAATTTTTGTAGCAATCCATAATTTACACTGTATTTTCACATATATTATCTCATTTGAGCCTTATAGCCTCTCTGTAAGGAATAACAAAAAATATAATAGTAGTTGATACTTATACAGCATTTTAAAGTTTTCAAAGCACTTTATACACAATCTCATTCAAACTTCACAATCATCCCGCGAGATAGGTGCTTGTAAGTAAAATACCACTCCCAATTTTTGGATGAAGATGCTGAATATAAGTGACTTGTTAGAGTTTAGCTAGTAAGTGGTGAAGCCAGGGCTGGAATTCAGGTCTCCTGATTTTTAATCCAGTATTCTGGGGGAGGAGAGGTGGAGATGATGAAATTTTACAAAAATTCATGGCACACAATGGGGAATGATATACTTGACTGTTGAGAGAGCCAAGTTTTTAAGGTGAAGAGAGCTTAGGTAGGCACATGTCTGTATTATACTTAGTCTACAATTTTGTTTGGAAGATTGGAAGGCTGACAATCCAGGTGGTCCCAGGGGGAAGCTACTTAACAACAAATGCATCACAAAACAGGTAAAACAACCACAGGATTGGAGGCAGCCAACAGCATATTCAGGTACCTGACCTTGGCCAAGCCACTGTGCCTCTTTAAGCCTCAGTTTCCTCATCTATTAAAGAGGACCAGTAATGCAAACTATTGGGCCAAAACTAGGTGTCATATAGAATAGAGCACTGGGCCTTGATTCAGGAAGGCTTGTTCAACTCTGGCCTCAGACACTTACTAGCTGTGTGACTCTAGGCAAGTCACTTAACCTGTGTTCACCTCAGTTTCCTCATCTGTAAAATGGAGATAACAATAGCACTTCCCAGGGTTATCGTAAGGATAAAATTAGACATTTGTAAAGTGCTTAGCACAGTGCCTGGCACATAGTAAGCACTGTGTAAATGTTAGCTATTATTATTAACCTCTTCACTTTTGTCATCTTCACAGATGAGGAAACTGAGGCCCAGGTAGTGACTAGCTCAAAATTACAGAGGTCAAAAGCATCAGAGGCAAGATTTGAACCCAGGTCCTCTGGTTTAAAGCTAGTGCTCCAGCCCTGACTCTCCTCTCAACTCTAGACTCTCATTACAACTGTTCACTGGTTCTATTACCTGGTTGTCCCACCAGTATTCCATACTCAGTATGTTGAAAACTGAATTTATCTTTTCTCCAAAGCTTGCCCCACCCCAACTTCTCTATTGCTGTTGGTGGTGTCTATAATTCATTCACTCCCTCAGGCTCAGAACCTCAAGTGTTATCTTTGACCCTTCCCTCTAGCTCTACTCCCATATCCCATGCCAAATCCTGTCAGTACTAGCTCTCACAACATCTCTTACCCTCCTTTTTGTTTCTACTGCCACCACCCTAGTGGTAACTAGGTAACTCCTATCCAAGACATTGTAACAGTTTGGTTATACCCTTTTCTATCTTGCCTCACTAAAAGCTGTCCTTCACTCTGGATGCCGAATGAATTTTCCTTATGCAAGCCCTAATCATACACCCCCATCCAGTACTCAGAACTTCAGTGCCTCCACTGCCATTAATTTAACAAATTAGAAATTCAAAGACCTCTGTTACTTGGCATAAGTCTACTTTTTCAGCTTTATTTCACCCTTTTCTTTCCTCCACTTCATCTGTTCTATGCTTCAACAAAACTGGACAACTTACCTTGTCTTACATACATCTCATGCTTTCTTGTCTCTTTGCTTTGGTTCACTTCTTTGCACCCAGAATTAATTCCCCTTCCCATATCACTTCATTTTTAAATGTTGAAATATTGCCCATCCTACAAGACAACTAAAATGCCACCTTCTCCCCATAACCTTCCTTGATCCCCTCAGTCAGAAATTATTTTTCTCTTCCTCAGGCATAAAATAGTAGTTTGCTTTACATGGCTGTTATGTATTTATTCTGTCTTGTGTAATCTGATTACTTGTGTATGAATCACATATGTGTAGATATATATATATATATGTATACATATATACACACACACACACATATATATATATATATACACACACCCATACCCACATACCCCACACACTAGATTATCAGCTCAATGACTATAGGGACCATGTCATTTCATCTTTATATCTTCCCCAGTGCCTACTGCAATACTCTACATATTTGTTAAATATTGTCCATGTTTGATACATTTTTGTTGAACTGAATTGAATTGGGAAAATAGTGAATTAAATATAGAAGATAAGGTGCATAAATGGAGCCAATCTCAGATAGAATGTTACCCTTGGGTACTGAAACTTTTAAATGGAAGACCACTCCCAAGCTTTTAATTTGCCGTTGTTTTAGCCCAAGAATTAAGGGGAAAAGATTTGGTTCTGAAGTCCATTTCCCGAAATCCAGCAGACCTCAAATTCAGCTCAGTTTAACTGAACTTATAATTTGTTAGGGCTTCCTATGTACAGAGCACTGTAGAAGACACAAGGTTTAGACAGGACATGATCCCTAGTCACATAGTCTAGTTAGATGTAACATGTATATAAATAAAGGAAGAGAGATATTAAATGAAGGATTAGAAATATCTAGCAGATTTAAAATTCATCTAACTCCTACTCCTCCGGACAATTCAGTATTGGTAGGACCAAAAAGGCCACAAGAATGTCTGTTTAAGGAAATCTGTTCTTATTATTTCTTCCAGAAATTAACTGTTTATTTTTATGTGATTAAGCTAAGAAGATGATGGTCGTCAGCTATCATTTTCTCAGCTCTGAAATGGAAATCAAAGAGCTTCCTAACTTCTAAGTTAATATTGCTTGTTATGCCACAATGCCTTCCCTCTAATTGTCTTGGTTGTTCTTTCTCCCTTTGAAAAGATGAGTTGTTTCAGGATTCAATATCATTATTAAACTATAAAATCTGCAAGGGTAGGAACTGTGTCTTGATTATCTCTGTGAGGAGGCACTGTGTCCTCATCTCTAAAATAATGAGAGGGTGGGGTGAACTAGCTGGCTTCTGAGGGTCCTTCTAGCTCTAAATCTATACTCCTCCTAAGGAGTATGCCAAATCATGATACTTGAATGAATATCGGGTATACCATGGACAGCCCCCTTAGAATGAATGCTAGAAGAGACCCAATGCCTTGGCAATTTGAGGTTAACACATTTTGTTCAGGGCTAGTGTGGAGAAAGGAGGTACAGGGAATGGTGAACCTCAGTAAAGGTCTAGAATGGGAAATAGTACATATTCACTGTATCCAAGAAAAAGTCAACAGTTTATGGCAGGAAGCCCAGACAGTTAGTTAATGTGTTTGATGACAAATAGACTACTGTTCTTCTTGGAAGGGACATCAGTTATTAAATGTAGGGAGGCTATTAAATGTAGCCACTCTTGAGGAAGGCTGAAGATAGGTGGGAGGAAGGTGGCAGAGCCAAAGAGAAGAAATATTTTTGGCTCTGGAAGGACAAGCCCAGCAGTAAGATCTCATACTGGACTATGACCCTCAGATCAGAATTCTATGGAGTTACCTACAAAGGAAACCTGGATCAGTGCTCCATGGGGAAGCCACACATCCCAAATTAGTGGGCCTCAAACATTTTTTTAGTCCATAAACAATCTCAGGAGGGCTGAAGATTTCACAGATTCCACCTACTCTTGCTCCCACCTCTCTCAGTAAAACCCTCCCTTCTCCCCTTTCTGCCCTGGGAAGAATAGAACTGCTTGGGGTAAGGCACTAATGAGAGGATGCTTCCTTCTTATTCAAGTTAATGCTTATTAAACATACCTCCGATTGCTCAACAGTAACCCTGTAAATGATTAATTTGGGCCAAGAACCAAAAAGCAGCCCCAGGACCCTGGCTGCACTCACGTTGCCATTTGAGAACCACTGTAAGATAGGAGGAGGACAAAAAGGAAAGAATCATCCCCCACCCCCTCTACTCTTTCCTTTGCCCATCCAGGCAGTTTCACCAGTGTTTTTATAAGTGAGGGTTGTGTGTCTCGATATGACTAATCCACTCACAGGTGAGCTTGGTCCAGTAGTGCAGGAAGACACAGACCTTATGAACAGAGGTTATCAAGTACTGGGCCACCAAATGCTGGGTTTAAGTAAGCCTGGATAATTCAGGGGAAGGAAAGAGACTTCTAAGGCAGTGATTACCAATCAGGTGATATGAGCCAAACTAAGCTTAAATAGAAAAAAAAGAAAGAAAAATCCTCAGTGTGATTAGAAAGGGTTTCTTTACACTTATCCCAGCATCTGATGTCAAGGAAGTAGAACTGGGATCCTCTAAATAACTTTCATTGCCAAATGATTAGGCTGAGTCTGTGGTTTTCAATTTACCATTTGTCTTAGTAGGAAATTCCTAAGTTGCCATACTTTCAGTTTGGGGTTTCTGTGGGGAGGAAAGCTGGATTAAACTTTTTCCTCTTGAGGTAACCTATCCAGCACTTTATAAATGGAATGAGATAAATGCCCTTTTTCCCTAGAAATTCCCTGGAGATGAACCCATCTCCATTGCTGTCTATGCAACAATAGCAGCATCAACAGAACAGAACACACAATGACTCTTACCCAATGGGGATGATGCTCAAGAAGCCAAGGAAGGATGATAGGGCAAAGCAAAAGCCAGCGAACTTATCCATGGTGAGCTGATAGATCTCATTGAATGTTGTGGATGTTACCACCCCAGTGAGGGCCAGTGCCAGCTGCAGTATCACGAACACCTTTCCTGTAGAAGGGACAGAAGGGTCACTGAGAATGACTTTATCAGGACATCTCATTCTATTCTGGAACTTAAGAGAGCTTCTGTGGAGTCCTTCTAAATGTTCCCTCAACTCCTAAGCAATCACAATCTATTTCTCTCAGGTGAGCTTTTTTTCTGGATTTCTTTGGATTTTCTGGAGACAAGTTGGTAACAAAACCAATAATGGGGCTCTTAATCTTTCTTACCCTTTTTTGGGCTGTATTAACCAATTTGATTCTTACCAAACAGTATTTGTGCACTGAAGGATGTTTAGTTTGCCCTCTCTATTCTGTCCCATCTTTTACTGGAAGCCATCCCCAACCTATCTTAATTCTAGTACCTTCCCTCTCTTAATTATCTCCTATTTATCCTATATGTAGCTTATTTGTATATATCTGTTTGCTTTCTCCTTCATTAGATTGTGAGCTCCTTGAGGACAAGGACTGTCTTTTTGCCTCTTTTTGAATCTCCAGTATCAAGCATGTAGTAGGAACTTTGGCAGCCAGCAGCCAGCAGTAAGCACTGCTTACGGTCGCAACCCCATGAATTCTCCAAGACCTTAGCGCACACCCTGGGCTTCCCCATTCCCCAAACCAGGCCAGGTTATCTAAAAGCAGAAATAATCCACAGTCAATTTCTCCTCACCATAGGAAGATCCCTTTATGAGCTTGGACAGTGCTGATCGGATGGTTGTTATTGGGATGAGAGCAAACAGCATGACAGCCCGGGCTGCAACGTGACAAACGAGAAAAATTAGTGAAGCCTGACCTTGTCTGTCTAGAGTAACAGCCTTCTCATCAGGGTTCAGTGCTGACCCAGTCATCAGTGCCTGTCCTGGAGGACTAAGCTGCTAGGAAGCTGGGTGAGGTACGTGACTAATCCAGCTGGCAAGGCACCTGAGGCAGCTGTGGATAAGATGTTGGAGCAATTCTCATCCTCATCAAGAACAATAACAAGTACCTCTTTATGCTCCCTCCCTCCTTCTCTATTCGTATCCAGTGAAAAGCAACGCTTGGAGGAGCTGCTAGGAAATGGCTCTTTTCTCATGGACCAGAAGCTGGTGCTTGATCATAGAACTAGAGGTGCTGGAAGGAATCTTAGAGATCCAATCTCCAACCTCCCTCATTTACAGTGGAGGAAACTGAGATCTAGAGTCTTAAGGGACTTCTCCAAGGTCCCTCAGGTAGAAGGGGTGGGGAGTGGGGTGAAGAGCCAGGATCATACAACAAGATCATTAATTTAGAGCTTGCAGGGTCCTTAGAAATCACCAAATCTACTCCCCTCATTCCTCAAATAAGGAAACAGAGGCATAGAGAGATTAAGTGATTTGCCCAGGGTCATACAGCTAGTAAGTATCTGATTCAGTATTTGTACTCAGATCCTTTGACTCCCAAACCAACATTCTTCTTCCACTGTGTACAATTACATTTTGGATTAAAGTCTGCTACTTTTCATACATCCAGGCTACTTTTCCTGGTGTTTTGAGTCTCAGCAGCAGGTCAATAGGTCTCTGAGAACTGTTCAGGAAGAAGAGAGGGAAGGGGGAGTTGAAAGAGAAAGGTGGGGGAGAGGACCAGAGTTAAACCCTTCTCCCTCAGCCAGCTGGGGAGCAGCATCCCCCAAGAGCCAGTTCCTTGACACTGAAGATCTGTCTTCAGGAACAGGTCCCTCTATAGATAAAGCCCCTTTCCATCCTGTCTCCCAGTGCTTTTCACTCTGTCCTTTTTCTCTTTCCTAACTCAAGAGGGCAGCCTCCCCTGTGAAGCTATATGGTACTTAACCAGCATATTTTCAGGAAAATGAACACTAGCCACTGTGTTTAGCCCACTGTTTGGGAAAGGGAAAGGGGAGAGAAAAGGGTGGGGAGACAATGTGATTTAATGGAAAGACTTAATGGTTCAAAATCAGAACACTGGGGGATTGAAATCCACCTCTGCTATTTCCTAACTGAGGGATCTCAGGCAAGTCTTTTAACCTCACTGGGTCTCAGTTTCTTCATCTGTCAAATGAGGGGCTTGGACTCAATGACATCTAAGGTCCCTCCCAGCTCTCAGCATACTCCAGACATGTTATCTAAACATTTATGAATACAATAAAAGATGTTCACATAAATTATCGCAAGTGCATATCCCTTTTAAAGCATGCCTAAACTGCTCTCAGCATAACCAGTCCTTCCCCCTGACACCTAATGATTTTTTTAATGTAAAGCCTCATGTGTGCATCTTCTTCGATCTGCAAGAAGCCTTGGGAAAACATCCTCATAAGTCTAGAGGTAAGAGCTGCTCATGGTAAGCCTGATGGGTTAGGGACAGCAATGACACAGAGTCCATTTATGAAGAAAGCAGGCAAGGGCAGGAATTAGATATAGATCCAGCAAGTTTCATCCTTGTGTGATTACTAACCCCTCACCTCCCCCACCCTCTCTCTATCATTTGCCATCCAAACTTTATCACAGCTCAAGTCCCATCTTTCCCATGAAGCCTTCAGAGATCTTTTCTTCTGAACTTAGAGCACCTCTGATCTCTGTTAGTTATCTTGGCAGCCGATCAGTTCAGTTTAGTCATTTTTCAGTCATGTCTGACCCTCTGTGACCCCATTTGGGGCTTTCTTGGCAAAGATACTGGAGTGGTTTGCCATTTCCTTCTAAACTTGCTCTATAGGATTTCTTTCCCGTGTGTTAATTTGGACTCTAAAATATAAATCTAGAAGCCCTTTTAGGTCAGGTCTGATACCTCTTCTGTATTTCTCACTGCCCAACCAGCTCATTTTACAGGTGAAGAAACTGAAGCCCAGAGAAGTTAACTAATTTGCCAATGGCTACATGGGTAGTAAGTGACAGAGCTGGGATTTGAACTTAGATCTCCAGACTCCACTAACCCCCTTTCTACTGTTTGAATTGGAAACAGCCCAACTCACCAATATAGAACATGTAGGTTTCCTTCACAAAGGTCAGAAGCAGTGAGCCGGCTCCAAAGGAGACCATCCCTATCATGATCATGGTGGTATCCCGACAGCACCTAGAAAAGACCAGGACTCCCAGGAAGCTGGTGATGAAGATGGTATAACCAGCTGCCATCCCATAGCCTACCTGCACGTGGTTCCAGCTCAGTGGCTCCCTTAACACAAAAAGGGGCATCACATCAACTGTACCCACCACTGCCAAATCGTAAATGATGGCCCCTGCAAAGAGCAGAGCAATGATAGCTTTGCGAGGCTCTGCCTTCCCCAGGGAAGGAAGCTCCACCACCCCTCCCTTCTTCTCTGGATGGTCAGGGTCCAGAGTGCGGTAAGTGCCCATGGTCCCAGACACAGTGTCCACTACACCAAAGGTTTTACTGGGTTTGACCTCAGGCTCTGGGACCTTGAGGACAAAGAGACTATAGAGGAAAGCAAATGTGGCACAGCCTACACTAGAGACAGCAAGGACGACGCCTTGCCGGTTGGCCACTCGAAGCAAGTTGAAGAGGTGACCGGAAGCAATGCTCCCACAGAAGCCTGCCAAACCCAATATCAAGTCAATGATGATGAGTCTCACAGAGCGACGGCCCTTAGAGGAGCTCAGTGAGCCCAGGGCCATGACACCAGACCAGAAAGCTGTGAAGCCCCCTGAGAGTCCTGCCAGCGCTGCAGCCCCATACATCACTTCTACTGGCCAGTCCAAAAGGATCTTCAGCAAGAGGAAGAGGCGGGAGAGGAGGTAACCTAAGAGGGGTATGCAGATGGAAATTTTCCGGTTGTAGCGGTCGCTGAGCCACCCCAGCCCGTAGGCTGAGAGCAGTGGGGTGAGGCCCACCACAAGGTTGTAGATGATGTAGAAGTTGGAGATGGCTTTCTGCTGAGCATCCTCACTGGCCCCCCTGGGGCTGGAGGAATTGTTGTGGTTAGAGAAACTTGAAAGGTTGTAGTAATTCTTGACCACCAGCAGCAGCCCCGCATCATAGAAGGAGGCAGCTACCTGGGCTGAGGCCACCACTGGTTCAATCCAGGTCCTCATCACTCCTGTCTCCAGACAGCTCCTCCTAGGGTCCTGGCCCATGGTGGCCAGATCCTCACTGAGAGCTGGGGTCCTGGCAGCGAGTATTGGGAGTTTAAGGGAATGAAGGGAAAGAGACCTGCTGCGGCAGCAGGGAAAGTCTCATAATTTGTTACCTTGCAAAGGAGAGATGAGTGAAGTTCAGTGAAGTGGGGGGAAAAGGAGGGAAAGAGACAGAGACAGGGTCAGAGTCAGAGGCAGACACCGATGGCAAGAGTGACTCTCTCTGAGGTGTGTGTATGTGTGTGTGTGTGTGTGTGTGTGTGAGAGAGAGAGAGAGAGAGAGAGAGAGAGAGAGAGACACACACACACACACACACACACACACACACACACACACACACACACACACACACACACACACGTTGCCCGTATAATAGACAGGAGCAGCTCCAGAGTTCAGATTGTCCTTAACTTGGCTCTCTTCTTCCCTCCCACTATCAGAAGCCCAGCTGCTGCGAGCTCTCCCTTGAGCTCCCCGCCCACAGTGGGAGGGATCACTTCCACTTTCTTAGCTCTGAGAGGCTATAGGGCATGAGCCCCTGAAGTGGAGAGGGTTGACTGTGTCACTCTGGGGAGGAGAAGGAAGTGGCACGGGCAAGTGACTGCCCTGGGGTTTGAGGCATCCAAAGCTAGATAAATGCATTCCGTAGGGGCAAGGGTGGAGCCGAGCCAGAAAGGAGCCTTAGCTGTGACTCAGGGCATTAAACCTGAAAAGGGCAAAGACTGTGGGGAGGAAAGGAGCGATGGTACAATGGAAAGTGCACTGAATTTTGATTCAGAGATGTGGGTTCAAATCCTAGCTTTGCCATTTAACCTGGGGCAAATGATTAATCTCTCCGGGCCTCAGTGAGGAGGCTGGACTAAATGGTCTTTGATGTCATCAGATACTTGGAGGTGGAACCATCAAGCACAACCCTTCTCTCCATGGAGAAGCAAACTAAGGCCCAGAGATGGGTCATGACTTATCTGTGGTCACACAGCTAGGAAGTGTCTGAGGCGGGATTTAAACTCGGGTCTTTCTGATTCCAACTCTACAATCTAATCACGAGAACCAAAGCAGATCCCTCAGTACCCATCAGACTTTCCTGGGTCCATGTGGGTAGGTTCCTGTCCTGGGACTGATTGATCAATGACATATGGGGTGGCGAGTGGTAGAAGGGGGAGACAGCTTTAACTTTTAGGGTAAGTAACTAATAAGTTTCTGATCAGGGAAGTCTTTCGGCCGTAGAGAACTCACCGTGATTCAGGGTAAATGACCACTTTTCAAACAAAGTCAAAATGGAGAACATCTAGTGCCGTTCTTTCCACTCAACATATAATGTTCTGGAGAACTGGGGAACCAAGGTTCTGTCTTTAAATCATCTCATTTGTGAGGTGGCTAGGTGGCTCAGTGGCTCAGTGGATAAAGTATTGAACCTAGAGTCAGGAAAACTTGAATGCAAATCCAGACTCCAACACTTCTTAGCTGTGTGACCCTGGACAAGTCACTTTCACCTCTGTCTGCCCCAGTTTTCTCATATGTAAAATGGGGATAATATTGGCACCTACCTCCCAAGGTTTTTATGAGCATGACGTGAGATAATATTTGTAAAGAGCTTTGCAACTCTTAGAGTGCTTATATAAATGCTCACTATTGTTATTTGGAAATCCCATCACCATGCAGCAACACATCTGGGGCAGCTGTGGCAGCCCCTAGGAAGGCCTGGGCTGAGGGAGCCAAGGGTATGATGTTGTACCTGGACAGATAGATAGTCCAGTTGAAGGAGCAGAAGGTACCCCCAGCTTCAAACTGCACAGTGCCTACAGAAAGAATTTTCCCTTCCCTACAATAGTCAAGGGTGGGGAAGATCCTACTGAAAGGGTAGGGAATAGGAGTCACGAGTATCTACCAATAGAAATCAAAGGGAGCCTGTATTGGTAGTTAAGAAAAAAACAGTTCCAGAGATGGGAGTAATACTGAGAAGTAATTCCTGACAAACAAGTCTTCCTCAGTAGCCTTTTTGGTCCTTTGCTTCCAGGGATGGGAAAGGGAAGGGACCCTTGAAGTGGCGGACGCTGTGCGATCAGCATTTATTACACTCTGGACCCTGACCCTCCAGAGAAAAGGGAAAGAGTTGTGGAGCTTTCCCCCCATTTGGAAAGGAGAAGGTGGACAGCCTAGGGTTTGACTGAGAACACGGGAAAGACCAGAGGTATGTGGGCGATATGTGCCCCCACCCCTACACCAGTAACCCTTATCCCCTGAATCCATCTTCTTAGCCTGAACTGAGAGCTCTACCATCTCCACTGGCTTCTTCTTCTCCACATCACCCCCACATCACCAGCCTCTTCTGGTTGAGATGAGCCTCTCTAGGCCTCAGCTTTTGTTTTTGTTGTTTAATCTGTAAAATGAAGGAGTTAGACTGCACAGGAGCTCTTAACCTGGGGTCTACAGATTCCATGGATATTCTACAGGGAGTCCATAAACTTGTATGGAGAAAAAGAAAGACATCTTTATTTTAATGAGATTGTCATCCCATGTATTTTATGCATTTAAAAACATTGCTCTGAGAAGTGATCCATAGGCTTCACCAGGCTGCCAAAGGCATCACACACACACACACACACACACACACACACACACACACACACCCCTCCTGGGCCAGATCATCTGTAAGGTCTTTTCCTGTTCAAAACTTACTGGCTTGTCATCTTGCTTTCTGACACGAGGGTTACAGAGTAGTGAGGCAAGAGCCTTCAGGAAGGTTGAGAAGGCTCTGTAGGTCCACAGCAGAGGACAAAAGGGCCCTTCTCCTCACATGTGGCCACCGCCTGCCCAGTAGTATCATCTAAGTGAAATCAGGTTAAAAATGAACATTAAAGCAGCTTTAAGATTGTCACAAAGGGGAGTGTAGGGAAGAAGTTTGATTCTTGGTCACAGATGTCACAGAGATTATGACAACTACCCCTGTAGGGTCAAAGATTTAGAGATGGAAAGTAATTTGGAAGTCATGCAGTTGAGTTCCCTCTAGGGCTTGCTCATGGTGACACAGCTGATCTTCAGGTCTTGTTTGTAGGAGCCATCTCCTTTTCACTGACACTTGTAGTCACTTCCTGGTTCACTTTTAGTCACTTTCCTGAAGCCTGGTTTTAGGATCAGAGCTTCAGAGCTAGAATAGGCCTTTGAGGTCTTTGAGTCCAGCTCCTTCACTTTACAGATAGGATAACATAGAAACCCCTCTGTTTATCTGTTAAAGCTCTTTACAGTCTGGTCCCAACCTATATTTTCAGCTTTCTTAGATTTTACTCTCCATCCTGCAAGCCTAGTTCCAGACAAACTGGCCTTGTTTGTGTTTCTCACTTGGGCCACTCACTTGTTATACACAGTATTATATCTCCCATTTCTGTGCCCTTGCATGGGCTGTGCCTTATGTCAGGAATGCCCTTCCTTGGTACATCTGGATCACAGACTCCCTCTCTTCCTTTAAGATACAGCTCAGACTTCATCTTCTCCATGGAGCCCTTCTTCATACTCCAACTGCTAGTGCCTTTCCTCCCCAAATTTTCTACTTTGAGTTTAACTACTTTGCATATCTTGGTGTTTATTCAATTTATATTTATGCTGTATACATTAAATATATAACATATTTATATATAATTTATATATATATATAAATATATAACATATTTATATATAATTTAGATGTAGATTATATATCACATGTAATGTTATATTATGATATACAATTATTAATATATTAATTACATGTAATATATTGATATGTAATTATATATAAATACTGATTTTCTTCCCCATTATAAATGTAAATTCTTTGCAAGGAGTGATTGTTTTCTTATTTGTATTTATATCTCCAATACCTAGCACGTAGTAGGCATAGTAGTTATAGATAAAGAAACTGAGGTTGCAATCTATCTTACCCTACAGGAAAATAGGAGGGGAAGGGGACAAGAGAGAAGGGGGATGATAGAGGGGAGGGCAGATTGGGGGAGGGGTAATCAGAAGCAAACACTTCTAAGGAGGGACAGGATCAAAAGGGAAAATAGAATAAATGGGGGTGGGATAGGATTAAGGTAAATATGCTTAGTTTTTCATGACATGACTACTATGGAAGTGTTTTGTATGACTACACATGTATAACCTGTGTTGAGTTGTTTGCCTTCTCAATGAGGGTGGATGGGGAGGGAGGAAGGGAAAAAATTTGGAACCCAAAGTTTTAAAAACAAATGTTAAAAAAAATTGTTTTCACATGCAACTTGGAAATAAGATATACAGGAGATGGCGTATAGAAATCTATCGTACCTTACAGAAAAAGTGAAGGAAAAGGGAATAAGAGAAGGGGGACAGAGATAGAAGGGAGGGCAGATTAGGGGAAGGAGTATTCAGAATGCATGCCATCTTGGGGTCGGGGGAGGGATGAGATGGGGAGAAAATTTGGAACTCAGTATCTTGTGGAAGTGAATGTTGAAAACTAAAAATGAATTAATTAATTTTTAAAAATTGAGGTTGCACAATTTGCTTGTAAGAAGCATCTGAAGCAGGATTTGAACTCTGGTCTTCTTTCCTCTAAGTCCAGATCTCTAGCCTCCATACTAGATATGTCAAACACACAGCCTGCAGTCCACATAAGACCCACAACACTTCTGAGTGTTACCCAAACCTACTGTAATTCTTGTCTTTTCACTGGGTGGGAGAAAGGGTGGGGGGGTAGAGAAATGGAACTGAAATTTTTTTAAAATGAGTTTTAAAATGCAATTGGAAAATATTTAACAAAATAAAAATGTAATAAAACATAATGTTAATATATAGTTTTCTAAGTCAATGTGCAGCCTACAGGGATCCTTATGTATGGGGTAGAGGGCCCCATTTCTATTTAAGTTTGACATCACTAGCTTATACCCCCTAACTGTCTTCCAGATCTGGGGTTTCTTGTACCCAAGGGAAAAACTCTGTCTTTTCCTTTGAGAGAAGAAAACCCCAGCTCCCTGTGTGCACTAAGCAAAGAAAACACTTTAGGCTAGGCTGGGTATCTTAGCTGAAGGCCAACCAGTTCTCCTCTGGCTTCATCAGAAGTTGTTTAGGTGTGCCCTTGAAAGCTTGGCTACCACCCCCAAAAGACTCCACAGAAATATTCCCTCCTCTGCTCTTTCCAGTCCCACCCAGGGAGGTGCTGGTTTCTGCCTTAGCCCACTGGGAGTCCTCCTACTCCATTCCTAACCCTGCTCCTCTGGAGTCAGAGAAATCCTCAGCAAGGTGGCCAAACCAGTG